TGAGTGGTTATCTCCTACATGGATCAGCCATCAGAGCAGAAGGAAATATTCAGTGGGTGTTGCTGTGGTTATTTGTATCTCCTCAGTGCCTGTAAAGTCCTGTGTGGAGGCACAGATCAAACACAGACAAAAGATTGCTCATAACGTGGAGAGAAGGGGTGAAGGGTCAGAGCTGGAGGGACAGAGGATCAGGCAGCACATTTTTAATGCCTGATCAGGACACGCAGCACGTTATTGGCCTGAACTTTCCAGTATTGCTTTAACACCCTCAGACCCTGCATTCCTGAGATATTATCAGCAAATTCCACCACCCCAGTGCTGGCTGGGAAGGATCACTAGGAGAAAAACCATTTGCAGTATGGGATTCCATTATGTGTGTGCTATGTTGGTAAAACCATCAAAGTCCACAGAGGACTGTCAGCAGGCAGTGGTGATGTCCTCCTCAGGTGAGCTGCTCTGAGTTAACACAGGAAATACTGGGGCAGCCCTCAGAGAGGTGTTGGAGCATGGAACCTGCACTGAGATCGGGGCAAGACAGGTGGAAGGGAAAGAAACTTCCCCTTGCGTGGAGAGCAGCATCCCAGAGGAGGTTTCTGGGCTCTATAAAACCCAGGTGACAGCTCTGAGTTCTGGACAAGGCGTGTGGGATCTCGTGGGAGGGCTGTTCTCAAGCAGGCTGGGGAAGAAGCATAGGTATGGCAGAGCTATTCATTGGGACTGCTCTGAAGGTATTTCAGCAGCAAATGGGAAATGAAATTTGAGCTGCGTACAAGAGTTTGTTCCTTGTGCGATCCTGAGCATTTGGCTATAAAATCATTACATGAAAACAGAGTTTAAACAAGGTTTAGCAGGGGCCACCTGCATTAGCCACCTGTGCCAATTCATGCATGACTATTGGTTTATGGATAGTTGGGAAATACTAGGAATATTTCTTCAAGACATCCCTGATCCCCCTTTCTCCAGACTGAGCCCCTTTCCCAGTTCCCTCAGCTGCTCTTCATAGGACTTACTGTCTAGACCCTTCCCCAGGTTCATTGTCCTTTTCCAGACGTTCTCCAGCCCTTCAAATGAGGACTGTAAAAAGATCCCCACTGAATTCATATATAAACTGGAGGGGAGAGAAGGGAGATGCATCCCAAGGCCCCTGCTGGAACGGGTGTGGTTCCTGCTAAAACATCTAAAGCCCAAGTCGAGTAAGAAAGGGAGAGAGACAGGACTCCACGTTGGTGCTCTCCAGGCATTTTATTCGCTATTTCCAGCCCTCACAGAATCACCTTCACACTTCTGTACCCCAGAAACAGCTGCACGTCCTTGAGAAAGGAAATTATGTCCTTGGAGGAGAGTCAGACCTGCTTGCTCAGCACAGTCACAGTGCACTTTAAGACACCTATCTGAGAGGAGCTGAAGGTCTGTTAAAATGGGAAGAGACAGGATTTTCTCTTACTCCCACACTTGAGGAGTAGCTCTGGGTGAATGGCACTGAGATAAGAGTGAGCAGAAACAGATGTGGAGCACAGCTACAAACAGGATGTGAAAATAAACTCATTACTCCATCTGCCCACCATAAACAGCGTGAAATTAGCAGGGAGTGAGAAATAAAACTCCAGACAAATGGCTTTTTAAAGGGAGCAGAGGGAGCTGGAAGGGCTGCTATTAGACAAGCAGAGACTCACAGAGCCCAAGCCATGCAGAGCTCCGTGCATATCCCAATTCCCTGGTTAGCCAAGGAGGAGGAAAATCCCGTGGCACAGAGCCTGCCAGGAGCTATTTCTGAAGGCAAAACCAGAAAGGCCACTCCATCTTTGGGAGAGAAGACCTAATATTGCTCTTGTCCCTGCCTGTTAGGAAGCACTATCAATTTTATAAGTCATGGAGATTTATCTTTTTCCCTAAGAGGTGCTGTCTTAATGTTGCATAAAATTACTCTCTCAGGGGCAGTGTGAGGAGAAAAACGTGGTGTTATGTTGTCTCAGTTGCAAAGACTCTGCTAACAATAAAAGCCCCTGAATGATTTGGTTTTTAAGTGACACAATTATGGAACAGGTCATTCATGACACTGCAAGTGGCCTCAAGCACCTCTGTCATAAAGTCTGAATGGAGGTGTTTTATGCTGTGGGTATGGGCTGTAAATATTCACCCCTGGCCTTTGTTCTATGAAGCAAGGCTTGGTTTGAGGATATATTTACTTAAAATTTTAGAGGAAAATTTCTCAAATGGTCAATCTGCTTGATTTATTAAAGTGAGATCCCAAAGTGTTTTACAGCTTTTACAGGCTGGTTGTGTTTATAACCATCCTGGGGAGTATCTTCTGCAATTCATGTAGTGGAGAAACGGAAGGAAGGTCATAATTTCTATTTTAACCTACTTTTCTAGCAGCTGACAGGACACTGACAAAGTCATCTCTTCTGGAATACAGCCTGCTGGGCTTTATCCTCATTCAGAGGAGACCCTTTGGAAAAAGCCAGACTAAAATAAGTGAAGTATTTTTTCCTTTATTCCTATGGATTCTGCTCAGGCATGTTCTCTAGCTCATTTTATGGATCTCAGTGAATGTGCAAATTGCCCAAATGATATTTCAAGGAAACTGGTTCCTTGTGTTCGAAGTTCTTCAGTATATGATAGCCCAAGGCAGACTTTCCCACATGTTGGAAATAATTTCTCTCTCCACATTTGGCAGATCCAAACAAGCCTTGAGTGCTAAATAAACTAGGTCTATGAATAAATCAGGGGCAGGAGAACTCAAATTTGAGATAGGGTGAGATTTGAAATACCTGAAAGCTTGACATTGGCCATGAGGCACTTTGAAATAGTCTGCAGTTAGATGAAAGGTTTTTCATTTGAGATTCCACTGGGATACTTCAGGAGGAAACCTCCTAGTGGGTTCACCCAAAGTTTGTAATAAACATAATTGAAGTATCTGAACTCCAGCTGCTACTTTCTACTCTAATCAAGAGCAACAGAGGCAGCTCCTTCGCAGCAAACACACTGTGACTGCTGAGGGAACAGAAATGGATATCCTGGGCTCAAGTGCTCAACTGGGAGGTGCAGAAATTAAGGAGAGGTAGCAGTTGGAAGGCAGCAACGGGGACTTTATGAAGAGATCTGTAGAGTCTTGGAGAAAGCAGAGATTTCATGAAGCCCTCAGAGATGGAGATCAGGGACTCACATTTTTCTCAGGAAGCAGGATTTTCTAATACTGTCCAAACTGGGTCTCACCAGGAGCAGACACTGGAGGGAGTCAAAAAGCAGATGGTCTTTTCTGTCCTTCCCCTTCTGGTTCCTACCCAAAGAAAAGACAAGTTGTGTTAGAGACAGAGACTTCCTTTGGGAAGTATTGGAGAAGTTCTCCTTCAAGGTCATGACAGCAGTTTCTGTTTTCATAGTACAGCAGGATCCAAAATTACTGTACGGGCACTGGAACTGATTCTCCCCTTCCATAAACCAGGTTCGCCTTTTCCTCACTTTCCCAAGCCATGGAGGAGTGCTGCCTGACCTATATCAAATGCTGCAGACCATCACACCAGTCCCCTCTGTGCCACCTGGGTGCCACACAGCCTCATCTGAGCACAGCTGACCCTGCCCTTTGCCAGGAGCAGCAATGCAGCCACGAGCCTTGGGCTGAGCACATCCCAGGAGCCAGCCTGGACATGTCCAGCCTGCTTTAGTGAGGAAGAGCAATAAATAACATGGGTTAGATCTGCTCCTGGCACTGAGGCACAGCACCACTGAGCCCTGATGAGCTAATTTATTGATGTATGTGTAGCAATACCATCTTCCTCCCATGCTTTGGACTCTCCAAATGGAGAACACAGACAGCATTTTGTGTTGGTAAAGGAACTTCGAAGACAATTTACAAAAGCTTGGGAAAAGCCAAGACAGAAACAGTGGGAGTCCTGGGGAGACGGTGACAGTGAACAAGGGCCAACTCCTGGGATATATGTGGGCTGACTACATGTCAAAACACCCACACAGAGCCATTTATAGCTCCAGGAAGGTGTAGGCACAGTTAAACCATATTCAAGGAGCAGAGGCCAGGGTCTCTGTAACATAGGGCTACTGTTAACTTTGGAGGGCAGAAATGAGATAGAGCTGGGAAAGAAGGGATTTGAAAATATTTTTGTTCTCCAAGAAGGAAAAATCAACCACCAGGAACTGGTCAAGTTTCTGTCTCTTATAATCCTGCTACCAGGCTGATCCTGTCATAGAACCATGGCATGGTTTGGGTTGGAAAGGACCTCAAAGCTCATCTGGTTCACCCCTCTGCCATGAGCAGGGACCCCTCCCACTATCCCAGTTGCTCAGAGCTCCATCCAGCCTGGCCCTGAACACTCCCAGGAACAGGGCATGCACACCTTCTCTGGGCCCCTAGAAGAAGGAGACTGCGTGTAGCAGGCTCCATGGAGTTGGCTAGGGCCCCATGGCGGGCCAAGACTTAACAGTAGGAATTGCTGAGTCATGATGAGACAGCAAAATAAGCTCCTGTCCTCTGCCTCTCGAACCCTAGCTTATCTCTGAAACCCTATAGGTCACTTTTCCCTAACCCCTAGTACTGTACATGTTTGGATCCCCCTATACGCTATAAAAAGGGGCTGTTTTATTTAGCCCATTCAGGAGAAGAAGAGCCGTCACTGGAACCCTTCACAGACCCCCACAATAAACCATTGCTGTGGAACACCAGGACTTCTCCTTCTCCTCTCTCTCTTGTCTGCTTCCACCCCTAGCCCTCTGGTGCTTTTGGCAAGCAAGAGCTGAAATCCTAAGAGAGCTGATAATCACTAAAGAGCTGAAATCCACTTAGCTTGCCAAAGGTAGCCACGGCTTTGAGCAGCGTGGGTATTTGGGCACTCTGTCTCTAAGAGGGACTGAGTTATCTGGATAGGACTGCCTTGCTTGGGGATAAGCCTAATGTGAGGACCAGGGGTCCTTCAGCTGTGGGCGACACAAGCCATTTCCCTCAGGGATGCTCTGTGGCACTGACCATCCCTCCCCTTCCCTTGCAGCAGGCATGGCAGCGGCCGCGGGCCCCAGCAGGGACTGCCTGCAGGCGGGTGAGGCGTGCACCACGGACCCCGTGTGCAGCGCCAAGTTCCGCACGCTGCGCCAGTGCATCGCGGGCAACGGTGCCAACAAGCTGGGCCCCGACGCCAAGAGCCAGTGCCGCAGCACCGTCAGCGCCCTGCTCTCCAGCCAGCTCTACGGCTGCAAGTGCAAGCGCGGCATGAAGAAGGAGAAGCACTGCCTCAGCGTCTACTGGAGCATCCACCACACACTGATGGAAGGTCAGTGGGACAGGGCGCTCCTTTCTGACCATCTTCCTAAAAGGGAATTGTTCATGGGCTGTTCTACAGAGCTCCCCAGCTCTGAGGTTGCTGCAGAATACCCCTGCATGATCCTGTTCTGTCTCAAGATCTGCTGATCTTGGAGGGAGCAGCATGAAGCTGTGTTGGAGGGGGTTAGGTTGGGTATCAGGAAAGGCTCTTCCCCCAGAGGGTGGTCAGACACTGCCCAGGCTCCCTAGGGAATGACACGGTCCAAAGGCTGCCAGAGCTCCAGGAGCGTTTGAATAACACTCTCAGGCATAGGGTGGGATTGTTGAGGTGTCTGGTAGGGGCAGGAATTGGAGTTGAGGGTCCCTGTGGGGCCCTTCCAACTCAAGAGATTTGATGATCCTATTGATCCCCATGGTATTGACATTTTGGAGAAAGCACTACTGAAAACCTGAGATGCCTCTTCCTTTTCCTTTTTTTTTTAACCCAACCTCTCTTTTATGACATTCCCAATATACATTGAGATCTTTTGCTGGAGAAATGCACAGCATATTTTGTATCTAAGTATGTTAACCAAGACCATAAACACTGTAGATTTTATAGAAACACAACATAAAACACAGGCATTGAGGAAAAACAGCACGAGCTTCAAAAAATCACTCTTAGAATGTCTCAAGTGTACCAGTGTCTTTGTGTTAGTGAAGATTTGGGGCTGGTGACATCAAGTTGGAACTTAAAGTGTTCCCAGAGCCAGTATTCAATAAGTTTGGATTTTGACTTTTTTAAGAGTCACCATAAAATTGCACCTCAGTGACCATAATTCTTCCTTGTCAGGCTGGTGAGTATTTTATGCACCATGAAAATTAAAATGGGGAATAAAACAGACCCTTCCAGCCATGGGCTGTGAAGTAGATTAATAAAACACTGCTGACTGAAACCTGAAAGGAAAAGTGCAGGGGTGAAACCACAGGCCAAAAGGCCAAGCAAAACAAAGGGGACGGACTCTGCAGTGCACAGGATTGCCAGGATGGAAACTGGTTGATCAAATTCCTGGGAAGCTTCCAGGTGCCACAGCTTGCAGGGTGCAGAGCATGGTGCTATGAACTGACTGGGCAAATACAAGACCTGAGCACACTTCAGTATCTGACCTTTCCCATAATTATGTGCCAGATTTGTTTCCATTGAAAGGTAGTCTGGGGAAGAGGTGGCAATCCAGTTTCTCCATTCGTCTCAGTGGGTGGTGTTACAGCTCCTTCCTATCTGACCTTTGTGGCTCATACTTGGAAACAGGTCACCTGTGACATGGCTGTGTAGGGCAGTGCTGTCATGAGGGTTTCCAGCTCTGGGACACATGATGGTTTATGTTGGAAGGGACCTGAAAACCCTGAAAGTTCCAAGGCCCTGCCATAGGCAGGGAGAGACACCTTCCTCTAGAAGGAAGAGAAGAGAGAGGCTGGCAGCCAAGGAGTGCTGAGAGCAGGCAGGGGCCAGCTCTGTGTCTCCAGATTCAGAACAGGAGTTTGGTGCTGGATGGACTCCCTGCCCAGTGCCTTGGGATTTCCACCTTGGGAATTACTGGGAGAGGGCTGCTCTTGGAGGCTGACAACAGCTCTACTCCACTTCTCCCTGTCATGTCCTGAGCCCCACACTTTTTCAAACAACTGACTTCATTTGCAATGCAGATTCGCACACCAAACTTTTGATTTCCTTGCCTTAATTTCCCCAGGGAGATATATTTTGTAGCAGTCCCATGTTTCAGAGTCCTTACACATGTTTAATTGACTGAGAAAGGAAGCCAATCCACACGGTCCATGTAGAGCTTTGTTCTCAATCAGACATACCCAGGAGGCTGCAAAAAGCTTCCTAGAAGCCCTCTTGCAAAAACAATTGTGGAAGTGCGTGCTCAGGGAATTTACAAAGCACACTATTTACTCAGCTTCTCTTGAGCATGCCGTGTTTAGCCACCTTCCCACTTAGAGACACAATAACATGATGACAACCCGATAACAACTCTCTGATAAGATGCTTTATCATCAGGACATAAAACTGCTATGCTGGAAAATACAAATGGGCCCCTCTCTAGTCAGTAACGATACAAGATATTTCAATGAAGGTGTAAAGCTGCCTTGTAATGTGCTGTGGTGATTGCACAGGGCTGTGGACCCTGGGAGCCATTTCTTGCTGCCTCTGGCTGCAGCTGGAGGTCAGCCCATGCCCAGAGCATGGGGTTGGATAGTCCTTTTATCCCAGCCAGTACATCTGCTGCTGCTGTCCATATCCATCTAAATGTCTAATAAAAAAACCAACAGATACTGAGCTGTTTGCTTCAGTAATATTCCATGGTATCCATCAGGATGATGGGGCATTACAGACCATTGCACAGATGAAAGGGAAGCACCAGTTGAATAAAATCAGGCTCCCAGAGACTTAAAAACAATGAGAGGAAGTTTCTGCGGGAGCTGTGGGTCATTAGCTTTGTGCTAAGTGAGAAAAGGCTGTTGGCAAGGAGAAAGGGAGAGGTGACAGTAAAGATGGAGTGTGTCATCACCCACATAATCCTGTGCACAGCTCTGTCTGTGTCCTAAAAAGAGGTGAGAACCTTTGACCCAGGGAGGGACATAGAAGAAACTGCAGTAATGGTGATGGAAACCCTGTGTGTGTAGGGAGCTGGTGATTTGAGGTCTGCCCATGAGCAGGAGCCTGTGCTACAGTCTGGTGTCCTCTCTGGCAATCCCTGCCATGTGCCCCAGAGCATGAGCTACAGAACTCAACAGTTCCTTACAGGCTTCCCCACTCCAAAATGGAGATACATTTTTAAAGCCAGTTCCATTCTATTCCCTTCTCCAAGAATGTGTCCACACACCTGTTCCTGTGGCTCCGAGCGTCCATTTACATGTGGCCTTTAGAGCATAGTGCCCTTGCACCCATCAAACAATATCTCACTGCAGATGTGGAACTTTGTGCATCTCAGCCATCCCTCAGGAGCCTCATCTGCCTTCTCACCAGCTTCTCTCTTCCCCCCAGGCATGAATGTCCTGGAGAGCTCCCCTTATGAGCCGTTCATCAGGGGCTTTGATTACGTCCGGCTGGCCTCCATCACTGCAGGTAGGTGGGTGGGAAATGCTCTGACACCTCTGTGCAGACAGAGAGGGCCCTGGCTGGGGATCAAGGGCTGCAGGGAGGGGAGTCCTTCGTGAGCATTGCATGGTTCAGGTCTAGCAGTTGTTTTTTCCAAGGAGGTGCCTCTGATTCCTTTGCTAAACTGTTACATGCTCTGGGAAAAGCTGCTTGTGATTTTTGTCTTTGGGCTGTTTCATGTCTGTACCATGAAAGACTGGGACTTAGGGATGTGGTATAAAGACCCCTTCCAATGACCCATCCCAGGCACACTCATTCTCCATAGCAGGTGGATGATCTGTTCCATGCAGACAGGAGCTGCTTGGGCATTGTTAGTTTGAGAAGGTGCTTCTACATCAGTCAAGGATCAAACTCTGCAGGAAAAGAGGTCGATAACTCAACCTGTGTGTTGATCCCAGCCACAGCCTTTAACCACCTGCCCTGAGGCAACCTCAGGACCCAGAACTGTGTTCTGCTGTACATCTAACCTTGTTACTGACTGAGCAGAGCAGCCTGACACCTTTTAACTCCCTGAGAGCTCAGCAGTTCAGAGGTCATTGTGGCTGCCAATAACCCATCCATCACCAAGGACACAGCTGCCACCACAACCAGTCAGTGCTTCACAGCCATGGGGAAGCTTTCCAAGAGTGGTTATTTTACCAAACTACCTGTCTGGGAACAGGTAATGTGCTCCTCCTCTGTCCCTGGCAGATGTGCCCAAACAGCTTTTCCAAATGTGTGCCTTGCTCTAGGGTGACATCCACAGCTGGAGTGCACCCAGGCGAGGAAGGAGCTGCATGTCCCTGCAGTTGGTCAATGTCTGCAGTCCCCACCATGGCCAGGCACTTGCTGGGTGAAAGTGTCCTGCAGCAAATTAACCCATCAGCCTGGACAAGGGGAGCAGAGAGGATGGGAGGTGCTCCCTGATCTCGCTCTTACTGACTCCACCTGGCAGACTGGTGCCTGGACAGGGAATTTTTTTGCTGGATCATGGTTTTCTTTACTGGAATTTTTCCCCTTCTGCTGAATTCCAGAAAGCTTCGGAGCATGGGGAAATAAAGGGATGGGGATTTTATGCAGGGTTAACACACTCTCAGGTTTTTAAAGCAAACTGAAATAGGTTGTGCAGCAAAGCAAATGGGCCCCGAGCAGCAGGGATTCTTCAGAGGACTTGGCATCCACTTAGGGGCATGAAATTTCTTAGCCTTTTTGTCCTTATTCATACTAATCAATATCTTCTATTACATAAATTACAACCTGCTGCCCTCTGCCTGTCCAGTGTCCAGGGTCATATGGTCAACACCGTCAAAGGACCCTCTTTCAAATCTACCAAAAAGAAATCCCAAGAACTTGTTGAAACATAAGACACCCCTGTGACCATAGGCCAATTGAACAACAGGTATATTAAACTAAATTTTATATAAACAATATATGGCCACTACTAAAACTGTACAAATGGAACCATATCCCTCCACTCTAATTCTAGCAGTGATTTAAAAAGCACATCTGCTGGTGTTGTGTGGGAAGAGGAGAAAATCCAACATGTTCCCCATGATTTATTGGCTGAATGGGTAATGAAACCCTTCCAAGCAACTGTTTCCTACACGTTAGCTGGCAGCTTCCCAGCATAAACTGATGCTCTGACAATATTCATCTCTGGGTTTTAAAGGTAACTATTTAGTGAAGGGATCACAACAAGCAAAACTTTCACCCACCATAAAATAACTGAAAAACTTGGAATTTGACTTCCAGCTCACTGTAAGCAATAGGGGGCAACAGGAAGGAAAAAATAAATGGTGGGAGAAGGAGCATCTGATAAAGTCAGGGAAATAGAGGAGGGCAGCCAGCTCTGAAGGGCTCAGGGGGATTGTCAATGTGTTAACACTTGTCAGCAGTGGCTGGCTGGTTTTAACTCCCAGTCAAAGATAGGGCTTGACTCTGCATTGGAAATTTATCATTCTGGGGATTTTTCCTCAATGGAAAAATCTTTCTGTGCTGGGGAGAAAGTCCTTCTGGTGTGCTGCTGGTCATGATTTTAATTCAGAGAGGTGAAAACCAGCTTCAGATTCATTTTCTCTCTCAAGCTTGAAGGACCCTTGTTTTATCTGGCTGATCAGACACATTCTGCTGTTCCCACTGACTCCTGCCAGGGACCCTGTAGCATTTTTCCCCTCTATAAAACAGAGTCCCATCCACCTTTGAAGCATCCCTACAACCAGTGTTAGACAAATGCCTTTTTCTCTTCCTTTTCCCTATTTTTACAGAGAAGGCTGTTGGCACATAAACTCATGAGATTCCTACTTTCCCACTGAAGACACTGTTTTTCTCATCCATCACTACAGTTTTTGCTTTATTTTCCTGACCTTTCCCCTTACTGCAGGTTTCCTCCACCTTCCCTGCATCCCACAGCACATCTCTGCTCTCCCACCCAGACTGGGACATTCTTTCTCCTCTTGTTTAGGAGGGTGGACATGCAGAGTGATTTTGCTGATGTAAGTGAGGGGTGACCCTGCAAAGGATGTGGGGAGAGACCCACGTGCACTCACATGCAGGCAGCATCAGGTTGTGCCCAGGGGCACGAGGCTGGATGGTACCTCTGATCCCACCCTGTGAAGGCACTGTCACTGCTGGGGACAGACAGAGGGATACTGGCTCAGACTGGTCTGGATGGGGCACACTGCAACCCAAACAGGTCTCACTTAGCTGGGCAGATCCTGGGGTGAACAAACAGAACTGCTCCAAAGCCAGACATGACCTTTCAGAGCCCAGGAGAAAATCTCTGTCCAGGGCAGTGAGGCTGAGGTGCCAGGAATCAGTGCAGACCACCCATGTAGCAGAGACTCAGTCTTTGATCTTGAGCAACTTGCAGAAACAAGAAGGTCCATTCGTAGAGGTCCCAATACTTGATGGATCCACTCATGGCCATAAGTAGATGCACTTTCTAATGCCTGCTGTCTTTCAGGCCTCAGGCTGGTTAATCTCCATTAGTAAAGTGTTACCAGATGCCCAGATTAAAGCAAAATTCATTTTATTGAAGATACGAGCTTGGTAAAGTGAGCTCTGGGGGGGTGCAGTCTGGTATGTGAGTGTGGCACTTTTTGGGAAAAGACAAGTGTGGAAAGGGGATTTGGTCCTACCAGGACCCTCAGAGCAAACCTGCACTTCATCCTGGCTGTGGCCTTCCTGGGGTGTGATGTGGTGATGCACATGTGGTGTTACCAGGTGGCCATGGATGGGAGCAGGGGGATGAAGGCCTCAGGGGCAGTGCTGCTGGTGGGGAGGTCAGCACAGAACCACCTCACGTGTGGTATCACCAGGAGGCCATGGATGGGAGAGGGAGATGAAGGCCTCAGGGGCAGTGCTGCTGGTGGGGAGGTTGGCACAGAGCCACCTCACCGTGTCCCACCACCCCGCAGGCTCTGAGAATGAGGTGACACAGGTGAACCGGTGTCTGGACGCTGCCAAGGCCTGCAACGTGGACGAGATGTGCCAGCGGCTGCGCACGGAGTACGTCTCCTTCTGCATCCGCCGCCTGGCGCGGGCCGACACCTGCAACCGCTCCAAGTGCCACAAGGCCCTGCGCAAGTTCTTCGACCGCGTGCCCCCAGAGTACACCCATGAGCTGCTCTTCTGCCCCTGCGAGGACACGGCCTGTGCTGAGCGCCGGCGCCAGACCATTGTCCCCGCCTGCTCCTACGAGTCCAAGGACAAGCCCAACTGCCTGGCACCTCTGGACTCCTGCCGGGACAACTACGTCTGCAGGTGAGGCTCACACACAGGGCTGTCTCCATGGAGTGCTCTCCCTTGGCCAGGGCCTGGTTACAGCCCTGTGCCACCACAGGTGCTCCTGGGGCCCTGTCCCACATGGCTATGATGGGCCATGCCATACTGGGCCCTATCCCTGTATCCCACAGAACCTGCTCACAGACAGAAGGAGATGGGAGATGATCACCCTGAAGCTGTTTAGACATTTTCTGTGGATTTTTGGCTTTGGTTCTAGAAGAAAGACCTGTTATGGGAACAGTTCCAGGAAGGTGCAGGCTAAGCAGGAGTATGGGGGAGGGGTCCTTACAGCCACTGTCACCAATCCATCTCCCTCACTGCTCCTCTTCCCCAGTCCAGAGCATCCTCAAGGAGCACCCAAGGTATCCTGACAGCCACAGGCACTTGTGAGGGCCTTAAAACCATGTTTGTTTGCCTGTTTAATTAGAAAAATTAATCTATATACATAAAAAATACACCCTTCTACTGCGAGCAGCCTGGGATAGTGGAAGGTGTCCCTGCCACAGCAGTAGGTGGAATGAGATGATTTTTAGGTCTTTTCTAGCCCAAACCATTTGTGATTCTGTGATTCTATGTTTTGGTGATTGCACCAGGAGTCTCAGAGTCCTGATGTCATTCCAGGTCCACAGCACAGTCTGTGGCCAGCCTGGTTTGCTCCTCTGTTGCCTTCCACCCCCAATCACACACACACAGACCCATCCCATGTGTACACTGACAGCAGAACCCCTTCAGCACTTTTCCTTCATCTGCACTATTTTCCCCTCCCTGTTGCTCAGAAAGTCTTTGATATTCCAGAAGGTTAATGCACACAGAGCTCTCGGGAGCAGAGCCCAGCTGGCAGTGAGAGATGTAAGGCAAAAACAGCACCATGGGGGCCCAGCCCAGTGCCCTGTGTGCAGCTGGGCTGTGAGCAGACACCTGGGGAAGAGCACAAGAACAAGTGTAGGACACACCTCCCTGTATTGTCTCAGTCTCTAATTGCTGTGGGGTTTGGGACTTCCTGAGCTGAACTTCCAGCAGCCATCCCCTACCAGCACAGTATCTTTTAATTACAATAAAAATATTATGTATTTTCACAAAGGAAGGTGAGTGCAGCAGCATCCTCTTGAAACCATGAAAGTACAAATACCCTCAGCACTCTGCACCCCAGAAACGTGGAGGCAGGAGAAGGACTGACCTGTGCAGAAGCAGACTCAGGGAGATGCAAAGCCCCTGGGTTGACCAGGCCCTGCTCAGATATTGTTCCCTGGCTACCCAGGGAATCCCAAATGGATGGGTTCTGCCCTCTCCCTAACATGACAAGAGGGCCCAGTGGGGAGGAAGAGGTTCAAAGGGGAGAGTGTTATTCCCCAGGAGACTGGAATCTATTTCCTGCAAGCAGCACAGCTGTTAATTATCTGGTCCCTTGGTCTCTGAATATATAATATAAAATCTCCTCTAGAGACATAGAGGGAGCAAGAGGTTGACATGTGACCTGGTCAAAGCCAGCAGTGCAGAATCCACAAGGAGAGCCAGGAATAAATCATAAAGTGAAGCACTCCAAGTCTCACCCTGTCGCTCCTGCACAGCTCTAGCCCTTTGAACTTCCCAGCTCAGAGGGCTGGGTTCTACTAATATGGATTATATCAAATCTGCAGTCACTATCTCCCTTCTCTAAATCTCCAAACAATGCAGCAAGTTTTGGGAAAGATTTTGCCTGTCCATGTTACAGAAGGAAAGGATTGATAAGGGGCAAACATGGGAACAAAGATGAGAAAAAAAAAGGGTGTAGGGGAGAAGTGGGCTGGAAAGTGCAAACTGGAATGCTGACACTGACCAGAAGCAAGAGCAATGTGTCTGGAAGAAACAGGATGTCTGGGAGAAGCAACATGCTCAGTTTTTCTGAGATTGCCCAGGCAGGGTAAACATTTGAGTTCTCAGCTCAGGCAGTGCAGGTTGTCACCTAAAGAACCCTCCCTTCAGGGGTTGTCAGTGCTGGTGCTTGCTTGAGTTTCCTAAGCAGCTCAGATGCCATGTGAAATCCCTTCCTGCCTGGCCACAGAACAAATGTTGAGATGGATCTGGGTCTCCAGCTGTTGCTGTGTCCTCCCCAAAAGCCCTGTGTTGGTGCCTCAGATCTCCAACACCACCATGTGCCAAGAGCTGACTCATGCCTAAAGAGTTTGGTGACACATACCTGGTTGGCAGAATGATTTGCCTGCTCCACAGGCTCCAGAGAGTCCTTCTCCTGAGAATGGGCATCTGCAGCAGAGGATGGGCAGCAGCCCTGGCCATGGGTAGGACATCTTGTGTCTGAACCTCTGGACACTTCCTTTGATCTGAGGTGATCTCAGCTGTATTCAGAGTCTTTAGAGAAAGAAAGACCAGAGCAATTGGACCAGAGCAATTCTCTCTTTCATCCAGTCAGACTAAAAATGAAAGCTGGGGTCTTTAGGCAAAGTTATTACCCAAAAGATAGAAAATGGCAACACAGACTGATCTCCTTCCTGGCAACAGCTCTTCCCTCAAAAACCAACCTCACACAACAGAAAGCAAACATTTCTTCCAACATTGGACTTATCTTGCAGTCCTGGAGGAAGCCTGTAAAACATTGACTGCAGAACCTGTTCAAAACCTCCTCCTGGGTTTGATGGAGTAGGCAGGAGATTGTAAAAGGACATCTGTTCCAACTGCTTGAAGAACACCTACAGCAGCATTTTGCAAATATGTTCCCCTCTGTGAACACCATGAGTGTGCTGTTACATCCCCTTTCCCACAGTTGTAGTAACATGTCCCGTTTGCGCTCTGGCTCCTTCAGGTCGCGCTACGCAGAGTTCCAGTTCAACTGCCAGCCATCCCCACAGGCTGCCAGCGGCTGCCGCAGGGACAGCTACGCCGCCTGCCTGCTGGCCTACACCGGCATCATCGGTGAGCATTCTCTCTCCTCTGGAGGGAGACCTCTCCTCTGGGGGGGAAACATCTCCTCTGGGGGAAAAATGTCTTCTCTGGGAGGGAAAAATCTCCTCTGGGAGGGAAACCTCTCCTCCAGGTGGGAAACCTCTCCTCTGGGGGAAAAATGTCTTCTCTGGGAGGGAAACATCTCTTCTGGGAGGGAAACCTCTCCTCTCAGGGGAAAAAAATCTTCTCTAGGGGGGAAACATCTCTTCTGGGGGGGGAACCTCTCCTCCGGGTGGGTAACATCTCTTGTGGGAGGGAAATGTCTCCTGTCGGAGGGAAACCTGTCTTCTGGGAGGGAAACCTCTCCTCTGGGTGGGAAACCTCTCCCCTGGGAGGGAAATGTCTCCTCTGGGTGGAAATGTCTCCTCTTACTCTGGCTATGAGGACAGTAAGGTGGAGAGCTGAGCTCTCCAGGACATCACAGAGTCATGGAATGGTTTAGGCTGGAAGGGACCTGTAAAGCCCATCTCATTCCAGCCCTCTGCCATTGGCAGGGACACCTTTCACCAGCAAATTTCTCCATGCCACATCCAACCTGGTGCTGGTCTTTCTCCCTTCAGTGGCATGACTGAGCCATGGGTATGGGGTAACTTTAGGATGGCTGCAGTGGAGGGAGAAAAACCACGGGCTACTGACAGATTAGAGCATCTCTCTCTGGTGGAAATAGATGGGCTGTCCCAGGGTGTCTGCTCTACCAGGGATTTCCTGATGCCATCACCAGTGATGCCACTGGAAATCACCATGCACTGCCATTCTGCCAACTTCAAAGGGTGTCAGATGAGGGTTTCAGATGCTGCAGAGCCCAGCTGGCAGCAGTTGGCACAGGCACAGACAAGAGTCCAAAGAGAAGTGCCAGTGGCCTTTGGACCAGATCTGTCCTGACAGATGAGACAGACTGACATTTTTGGGCCAACATTTCATTCTGTTTTAATCTTTCATTCTGGAGATTGAAATTGGCTTTTTCAATGACAGCATGAAAACCTTCATACACATTCACATGCAGTTTTTGAATGCTCTGCCTGGAGAATAAAGGGCTGCAAGAAGACCTTAGAGCCCCACCCCCAGGGCCTAAAGTGGCTCCAAGAGAGTTGGAGAGGGACTTAGGGCAGGAGCCTGGAGTGCCAGGACAAGGAGAATGGATTCCCAGTGCCCTCTGGCAGGATCAGATGGGATATTGGGAAGGAATTCCTGGCTGGGAGGGTGCTGAGGCCCTGGCACAGGGTGCCCAGAGCAGCTGGGGCTGCCCCTGGATCCCTGGCAGTGTCCCAGGCCAGGCTGAACAGGGCTTGGAGCAGCCTGGGACAGTGGGAGGTGTCCCTGCCATGGCAGGGGTGGCACTAGGTGGGATTTAAGGTGCCTTCCAACCCAAACCATTCCGTTATTCTCTGAATGTAATTAGGGAACCTGAATTCCCAGAAACTGCCCATTCCTTTGACTGATAGCACTTTTTAATTGACCAAAGGCTTTGGTGATGGTGTTGTGACCAAAAGGGTTGTGAGTGCCCCTCCTCTCCCCTGGGAGCAAACCCGAGCCATGACAGCAGCACCTGAAGGGTTTTGCTGCTGTCATGGAGGGGCTTGGCTGAGGCAGAGCCACCCAGGAGAGCAGCCCCAGGGGATGTCCCTGCCCCTTCCTGCAGTCCCTGCCCTGCAGTAACATTGTCCGTCTGTCCCGGCAGGCAGCCCCATCACCCCCAACTACATCGACAACTCCACGTCCAGCATTGCTCCCTGGTGCACCTGCAACGCCAGCGGGAACCGGCAGGACGAGTGCCAGAGCTTCCTGCACCTCTTCACCAACAACATCTGCCTCCGTAAGCGCCACTGCTGCATGCTGAGGGGGGGGTTTGGGCATGGGGATGGGGACGGGGAGATGCCATGTGCTCCAGGGTCTGTGGGTGTCCAGCTCCCTGTGTTACCAACCAAGGAGCTCTGCAGAGGCTCAGGCATCCCTTCGGGTGATGCAGAGAAAGAGGCTGGGAAAGGGAGGCTTCCCCCTGCCCTGACAAACCTTTTCTTCATCTTTCCCACACCAAGAAAATGCCATTCAGGCCTTTGGCAATGGGACTCACCTGAACACAGCCTTGGCCCCGTCCATCCCCCCCACCACACAGATGTACAAGCAGGACAGAAATGCCAACAGAGCTGTGGCGACCCTCAGAGAGAACAGCTTGGAGCACCTCCAGCCCACCAAGGTAGGAGAGGGCAGGCCTGGCCCGGGGAGATGATCAGCCATGTCTGTGCCTCCTGCAGTGTCCTCACCTCAATCCTTCTTGCACCTGTGTCATTTCAGTCACATGCAGGCATCCAGCCTACCCTCCATCTCCTGGAGGCCTGATTTCCCTTCCCTTCCCTTCCCTTCCCTTCCCTTCCCTTCCCTTCCCTTCCCGTTTCATTTGAAGTACTGGGAAATCCATGGGGTTTTCACCCAGGATCACTGGTTTGGCTCCTCACTGTCCTTCATGGCATCAGTTCAGCTTCAGACAAGCATTTCAACTTCCCAGGACACAAGTTCCTCCCTTGTTAGATGAGGATGCTAGAGGTCATAATGCAGAGGTTTAAGGTTTGCTAAGCATTGGAAAATTTGAAAGGAAAGGTTCTGATCATCAGTAAATTATTACTATCAAAATAATATTAAATTGAAATTATTTTAAAACAAATAACATGTTCATTTACTGATGATGGCTGTGATAGATATTAAATATTTTATTTTTAAATAAAACAAAATGACCTTGACTTGCCACACTAGAGTAATTTTCAGATTCAATTATTTTCCTATTGAATAATTAACAGTGACCCTGATTTGCTGAACATTCAGGTTACAGAAGCTGTCAGTTTTAACTAGACTCCAAGGACTGAGCTTTGCACTGGGCTGACTGATACCTTCAGAACTTTCAAGTGTGGGTTATTTTAAGGCTAATCACTGTTTCTTTTGCTGGGAAAACACCCAATTCACCCCTCTACACCCTGTTTTCACAGAGCGGCTGTGGCCACAGCTCTCTTCACAGAGAGCAGCAGGCACAAACTCCCCAGGATTTCTCCTGGGGAAGGCAGTGAGAGAGCTCAGAGAAAGAAGAGAAAACAATTCTTATCTCTATTTGCTGCTCCTGTTGTTTGGCACACAGGGAATGTGTTATGGAGATTGTTTACCCAAAGTGATTTGTTAATTGGACACTGGTGAAGGTTGTTTTGATTGATTGACCAATTAGGTCAAAGTTGTGTCGTGACTGTCTGTAAGGAGTTGTGGATTTTTCTTTAGTGTAGTTTAGTATTAGTTTAGTATAGTATAGTATGTAGTAAATATATAGTATATATATAGTATGTACTAATATAATTTAGTATAGCTTAATAAAGCAATTGCTCAGCCTTCTGAATCATGGAGTCACTGCATGTTATTCCCCAGCTGGGGATCATCCTGCATCAATCAGCAGCAGGTTGGGAGGTGGAGAAGAGTGGCCTCAGGTTCCCTCACTGCCCTCCAGGGCACTGGTGGCACTGTTGCAGGGCACAGGGACACCTTCACCAGGCCAAAAGCTTGGCACCCAACAGATCTGGAGGCTTTCCCTCCAGCTGGTGCTCCTCATATCTTAGAAAATCGAAGTAGTGGCCTCAGGTCCAGACCTGGCACTGAGAACTTAATCCTGGAAGTGAAGGAGAAGCTGTGAACTGTCTGTGACCAGGACAGTACTCCCAACAGCAAGTGGGAAGCTGGAAAAAGCAGCTGCAGTGGAGGATGGTCCTGCCACATCTCCAAACTCCTCGTGGCAGCAGCACATCCTTCCTCTGGGGTGTGAGGGCTGCTGGAGCGTGGTCCCTGCTGGAAACCAGAGATTTGGGTCTTGACTTTGGACTCAGCTTCAAATCCAGATCCTGTTCAACTTTTAATGAGGTTAGCACCTCTGGAGAGGGGAAAGCTGGTGAAAGGTCTCCCAGCAGCATGGAGGTATATTCCACATCCACCTTTAAGGTCACCAGGTCAAGCCAGTGGCCAGCAGTGGCTCCATAAGATACATGGATGGCCACTGACCTGAGAGGGCATCCAGGCACCCACCTCACTCAGACACCTCCAGCCAGTGTCCAAACAAGTGCTGTGCCCACAAATGTCTCTGCTGCTGTGGCACCACCTTCACCAACAGCTGAAGAGCTGTGCTGACCTCCAGGCCAGAGTTAGGGTGGTGGAATCAGCACTGGCCCCTCTGCACATGCACATACCTGGGGCTGCACAGCCCCCGAGCCCCAAATCCTCTGAGGCACCAAGGAGGGACACCAGTTTGATTTGAGACATGAAGCCCCTCTCCTGTGAGGAAAAATGGAGAACTGGAATTGTTCAGTCTGGAGAGGAGAAGCTTTGGGGTGACCTAATTGTGGCCTTCCAGGGCCTGAAGGGGCTCCAAGAGAGCTGGAGAGGGACAGGGGACAAGGGCTGGAATGCTAGGACAAGGGGAATGGCTTCCCACTGCCAGAGGGCAGGGTTAGATGGGATATAGGGACTGAATTCTTGGCTGTGAGGAAGGGGAGGTCCTAGCACAGGATGCCCAGAGAAGCTGTGGCTGTCCTGGGCAGCTGTTCCAGGCCAGGCTGGACAGGGCTTGGGACAACCTGGGACAGTGGAAGGTGTCCCTGTCCATGGAAGGGGGTTGGAATTGGATGGTCTTTAAGATCCCTTCCAACCCAAACCATTTCATGATTCCATGATGAGGCACAGCACTCACCCCACGCTGTCTCCTTTCTCTGTAGGTGGCTGGAGAGGAGAGGCTCCTGCGTGGCTCCACTCGTTTGTCCTCAGGCACCTCCAGCCCAGCAGCCCCTCCGTGCTGGGCGGCCTCTCTGCTGCAGATGTGGCTCCTCCTGGCCCCTGCTGTGCTCAGCCTCCCCGTGATGTGAGGAGGGCTGGCACTCACCCTGAGAAACTCAATCTGTGTTGGTTTCTGTACTCAACAACCAGACCAGTAACTTTTTCAGGAGCAGGGCAGGGAGAAGGGAGGGGAAGGGAAGGGAAGGTGAGTGTTTGGGCATCCCTTCCTCCTCCTCACCTGTCTGCCAGTTTATTTGATTTTATATGATCAGCGTTGTTGACAACCAGCTCATTCCTGGTCCTGGCCACCTTTCCACACCACAGCTTGGTTGTTGTTTCTCCAGCTCTCTATGGATAGGCCTGAAGCCATGGACAATTCCCTTGGAAAAGGTGAAGGAGAGAGGTGATCCAAGAAATGAGAGCTGCAAAGGAAATGCTTTTTCCTGCCCCAGCCAAGAGGGGAAAGACTTTTGATGGATGGGTGACTGGATGACCTGTGAGGAGGTTTCCTGAAGCCCACCCTGAGGGGCTCCTGACAGGACATGGGGAGTTCAGACTGTCTGCATGGTTCCTCAGGACCTGAAGGACAGCACACCTGGTTCCCTCAGACTGAAGAAACCAGAAGACTGGTGGGAAGGTGGTTGGTTTTGTTCACTGGAGAGGAGCCTGAAGCACCTCTGGGGAGGACCAAGTAACCACACTCTGAGCTGGCTGGCAGGGATTATCCACCCTCTCAAAACCATGGCCAGAGTGCAACCAGCATCCTCGTCCCAGTGTCACCTCCCCTCGGGCCCTCCCTCTTGGGGAAACCTGTGTCCTGTATTGATGGTATTCAGGAAGAAACACGTGTGTTGCATTTTGTTTATGGCTGAATTTTTTGTGTCCCAACCCAAACACCTCTATCCACTGGTCCTGTTCAGTGTTTTGGGGCATTTTTGCTAAATCCAAACAACCAGAGGCCAATATTGTCCCACTCCAAGCTACCCTTTCTCCATCAGGGGCCAATGTGTGAGCCCATGGGCAGGGTTTGACCTGAGCCCAACACATCCCACTCTCACCTGCTCATCCTCTGGTCTCACTGGCACAGGGTCTGCAGCCATGGGATTTCATTTGTTTTCCTGGAAAGAAATAGGATAGGAGGGGTTTGCCAGAAACCACCCTGAAGACAGAAATACCCAGCCAAGAAAAGCCAGTCATGAATTATATAATGGGTAGGGACTGGATTGCTATAGTTTCCCCTCCTTGGAAAACTGGCAGAGGCAGCCCCCAGTGTTCAGGTGAGCAGGCCAAGGCCTCTTGCCTGTTCCTGTTTTATCAGTGAGGATGTCATTTAAGCAAGGGATGCTGAAGTGACCCTTTCTTCTGAGCCACAGCCAGAGCCCAGGGGAGGAAAGCGAGGATCAATGTCTCTCTGGTGTCCTGGGGCACCTTTATGCAGGTGTGTGACTCTGGGCTACCTGAGCACCCCATCTTTCCTGAGGAGGTGAGCTGAGGAGTCCCAGTGCCCTCCTGGGGGGCTGAACCCTCTACTAAAGCCAGGAAAGAAGATGGTAAGGAAGAGTGAGAAGGCTACCCAGGATAAATGCTTACCCAGGCTGAGTGCCATGGGAGGAAGAGCAACAGCCCCAGAATCCTCCTGAGTGTGTTTAGGCCTGGCCTTTGCAGCAGTCCATTTATTACTATAATAAATATCATTAATTCCTTGGCATTTGAATGCATGGAAAGGCTTGTGAAGCATCTGACACAGCAAAGTCCATTGCTTTGTAGTCCCATTTCCTGCAAAACCTCTCCCATTGCTTATTGCTTCAGATTTTCTAAGAAACTGCAGCAACTTCCTTGGCTCTTGCTCCAACAAGAAACCACTCTGGTTTTCAGCTGAACACCTGTGGATGTGTCTGACATGAGCAGAAATTCTCCTCCTGCTGCATCCTGTCCACAGTGCTGCTCCCTGAGGTGCTCAGGGCTGTAGCACCTGGCTTTCAGGGCTGTGCAAAGGCCACACCAAGCTCCAGGGCTCGTGTGCAGGGTGAAAGTCACACCCTGAGCCAAAGGCTGTGTGTGAGAACTTCATGGCCAAGAGGCTCACTGTGACCAGGAAAGCAGACCAGGAGGGAGAGCTGCAGGCAGGAAATCCTTTCAAAGTGACCCCAGACATGCACAGAGCTGCTGTGAAGGTCTCCCCTTTGCCCAGGACAGCAGTGTCTCGAGAGGCCAAGTGACACAAAGCTTGTGCCCTCTCAGCTGCAGTGGAGAGTGATGAAACCCTGACTGCTCAGCCCTTCAAGGCAAGGAACTACCTCAGCACCACGAGGTCATGCTGGGAATTGCACCCTTCTGCCCCGTTCCTTTCCAGTCCTGTAGTCATGCTCTGCTTTCCACTCATCAAAGCAGTCTCCACCAGCTTTCAGTCGTGCCCGGGCTCAGCATCTGCACAGGGTGGGGATGCAAGTGTCAGCTCCTTCTCAGGAGCACCCACTCCCGTGTCTCTCACATGGCAGTGTCAGTGATGGTGAAGTGCCACTTTGCCATTTCCTTCTCATTCAGCAGAGAGAGTTTTTCTGGGTGGTCAAGATGCCTCACCTCTCCCTTCAGACTGGTATGCTGTAAAAAGAGGTGTGGAGAATCCTACTCAAGGACTGGATGGGATGGAGACCTGCAGAGGTTACCTCACCCCAGTACCATGTCCCACATCAGTACCCACTTTAGTGATTTCAGTGAGAGACATCATCATCTCCCCAGGGTTTACATCACAGGATCATGAAATGACTCAGGTGGGACCTTAAAGCTCGTCCTGTTCCAGCCCCCCCGTCATGAGCAGGGTCACTTCCATCAGACCAGGCTTCCCAAGCCCATCCAGCCTGGTCTTGGACACTCCCAGGGCTGTCCTGCTTTAAAGGCTCTGCAGATGCTAATTGTCTCACTGCAGATCCCCAGTTCCCATGTCCTGTCCTCCAAGCCCTGTCCCAGGCCAGGTCCTGCCCTTCTGGGGGTTCCTTGGGGTTCAGGGATGCTTTGGGATGAAATGAGTGAGGCACAGAGCAAGGAGCCTCTCATCCAGCAGGAAGGAGCGGGAATTAACAAAAAAAAAAAATTCCCCAAACTTTCATGGCTTTGTTCTGATCATTTTACTCTTTCCACCAATATTTAATGTTGATTCTCCCTCCAAGCCTGCTCATGAATCAAACTGTGCAAAAAATGATGACTTTTGAACCTTTCTGCTGGAGGAAGCAAACATAATGACTCTCCTCCCACCCACCAACATGTGTGCACAGACCACTGCTTTTTCCTTGTGAAAAGTCAGTAATTTTTTTGGATGAAATTCCATCTCTGCTGAATTCTGTGAAGTGAACCATGGATCTTCATTTTTAAGTCTCTTGATTAACCACAGAAGTCATAGCAGCTGCTTGTAAAGGCAAAAGACTGAGCGAGCCAAGAGACAGAAAGGGAGACAATTTTTTTTAGGAATTACTCCATTCCTGACAACTTCCATAAGCACAAAGAAGAATCATGGGAAAAAATAAAGAAAAAAATCACAGTTAAAGAACCAGCCAGACTTTCTGTAGTCACTGAACTCTATTTTTTGGCTGCACAGCACTTCTCCCAGTGTTTGGCAGCCCTGAGAGCCTGTGAAATATTGTGTGTGTACTTATACCTGTCCTGTCACGTCACATCCAGCATTGTCCAGGCGGGAGCAGGAGCTGGGAGGGAGACCCAGGGTGGGAGATGGTGCTGGGGCAGGAACCCCCTGTGTGCCCCTGCTCGAGGGGATGGGTCAAACTTGTACTTACCTTTTCTGTACATGTCAATATTCAAACATATCCATGAATAAAGCACACACGCATTTTCCTGACCCCTCGCTCCTGCCGTGCCGACGTGTCCTGGATGCTGCTGAGCTCTGCTCCTCTCCTGGAAAGGCAGCTGGAAGAAACTGGGGGATGTTCTCTAGGGGCTGGAAGAGTGGTGGGGCTCAGATGAGGCGTGCTTGGCTGGAATCATGGAATCCTAGAGTATCCTCAGCTGAAAGGGACCCATAGGGATCACCCAGTGCCACCCCAGCTCTGCCCAAACCCCTGAAGTCCCACCTGGGCATCCCTGGCAGTGCTGTCCCGATGCTCCTGGAGCTCTGGCAGCCTTGGGGCCGTGCCCATTCCCAGCCCCAGCCCCAATCCTGGGTCCCAGAAAGGAGAGGTGACAGGTGAGAACCAGCTCTGCTGAGATGGAGGGACACCAGTGTCATCAGGGAAGGAGACACAAGTCCCCACACCAGTCCTGGGGCTGTTTGTGCAGCCTGTGGGGGTGAAACCTGCAAAGGTTTGGGAGAAATCTGGGCAGGTTTGGCCCAAAGCTGGGGACAGCACAGGAGGAGGGAAGCAGTGCAAGATACAGCAGGGCTGGGAATAATTGCACCTGCAGTTGGGGGCCTGTGGAGCCACTGCTGCCAGGATGTCACCAGTGTCCCACAGAGTGGAAACAACTGGGAAGGGCTGGTGCTGTACCCTGGGCTGGGCACAGGAGGAAGGGACAGGGAGGAGAAGGCAGGGTGGTGGGTCATGCCAGCCAGGAAGGCTTCTGCTCAGGCCATGAACATCCTTGGCAACTTAAAAAAAAGCTATTCTTGGCAACTTAAAAAAAAAGAAATCACAGGAAATTTGATTAGCGGTAAATAGAATGCTTTCTTCGGGGTAGGGGAAAAAATTTGAAAATACAAATACATAAAATTTTTATAAAAATAATGAATAAAATTCAAGTCAGTTCCTTAAGTGAGTTCAAGGTTGAACACATAAATGTTGCACTTCTTCCTCCCGTAAATCATGTTTGCTTCCATGTGTGCATGGAGCAGCTGAGGATGCAGCTGAGGAGCAGAACCTGAGGGTTAGAGAAGGACTTGGGCTCTCCTCAAAGCCTTTTTCCTCCCCACAGCACCTAGGCTGGGCTTTGCTGCCTCAAAGGACAATTCCTGTGGAGGTTCCAGCCAGCTGAACCTGAGACTGTGGAAACTTCCATGCTATGGAAGCCCTGCAGGGCTGCAGGGCTTTCCCTGGCCCTTGGCAAGCAGCTGCTCGGGCAGGGTCAGCGCCCAGAGCTGGGCTGGAGGAGCTGCAGGGGGGTCCGGGGGGTCCTGGCATCCAAGGGGCTCTCAGGACTCCCCCGTGGGACCCCCCAGGCTCTGCACAGGGACAGCACGTGGGGCTCAGCTCGGGGGCTGGCTGCAGCAGCCCTGCTCTGGCATGGAGCAGCTGGCTCCAAGAAAACCTGGGAATCATCCTAAATTTAGGGTGAGGAGATTCTGGAGCAGCAGAAGCACCAATGGCTGGAAGAGGCTTTGGCTGACCCTCAGTTCTTCCCTGTCTCTGGGTCTGGGTATGGTTTGGGGGTGCTGGCTGTGCCCCCAACAAAACTGAGCACCACTCCCTCCTCCAGCCCCAGACATTAAACACCGGGGAAGGAGCACAGGAAGTCATTTTTCCACATTCCCAGAGAAAAGGTCTCACCTTTTCTTACTTCACCTGTGTGGCCCCCAGGACAGGACAGACAGAGCTTGGAGCAGCCTGCTCCAATGGAAGGGGTCCCTGCCCATGGCAAGAGAGTGTTTAAAGTCCAGATGATGTTTAAAGTCCCTTCCAGCCCAAACCATTCCATGTTCCCATGACACACCTGGGACAGCACAGCGGGTTTGGAGGAGAGACCTGCAGACAGGACCCACAGTCCCCGTCACACTGGGGCTGCAGACACAGCACAAGAAAATCCTGCAGCTGAGGTTCAACAGCTGCAAGGGGATGTAGAAATCAGAAACAACAATTTACCACACATTGTCTCCAAGCAAACAGTGCTAAAATGCTGGTAGGGATGGAGACATCTTGCTTCGGTTATTAAAACACTGAATTTCTAAAAAATTGTGGATGTTTGCCAAAGGGAAAAGCTCAGAATTAGCTCTGACATGAAAAATGTTCAAGTCATTTCGTGGGGTTTTTTCTAAGGGGAAGTGGAAATGATTTCTGGTGGGAGCAAGGATCCCAGGGAACATGTCAATGGAAATCCTGCCAGTCACTCTGTGTGAGGCTCATTGTGGCTGCAGCCTGGAAGGCAGAGCTGCTAAACAGCCAGCTGCAGGTGGGATGGATGGATGGATGGATGGATGGATGGATGGATGGATGGATGGATGCAGACATGTCTGAGCTCTGCTCCAATTCCCCATCCAGACAGTACTTCATGGTCAGCCACCACAATCCAGACCTACCCAGTGAAGTTCTGCTAGTTCTGCTTCCAAAGTGAATTCAGGGATCAGCATGAGGACCAGGAGAGACTAAATCCCATGCTCCCATGGCATTGCTGCTCACCATGGTAGGGGGAGATCAGAAACAGCCCCTGCCCTCACAGGTTTGTGGAGCTGCACCTGGGCTTCTTGTCAGCAGCAGGGAAATAAAGAGGAGAAAGGTGCTGTCCTTCTTGCTAGAGCCAGGGTGGCCCAGTCAATGTTTTTTTGGCAAAATTCCCTGCAGATGTGGCTTCTGAATGATGCATGCAGCCCAGGAACACAGAGAGGAGGAGGAAGGAAGGGGCTGATCCTGCAGCAGATCATAGACTCATGGAATAGTTTGAGTTGGAAGGGGCTGTAAAGACAATTTAATTCCACCCCTGCCATGGCAGGGACACCTCCCACTACCCCAATCTGCTCCAGCGCCAATGTCCAGCCTGGCCTGGGGCACTGCCAGGGATGCAGGGGCAGCCACAGCTGCTCTGGGCACCTGTGCCAGGGCCGTACACTGTCACAAGGGAGAATTTATTCCCAGTGTCCCCTCCATCCCTGCCCTGTGGCAGTTGGAAGACATCCCCCCTTGTCCCAGCCCTACATGCCAATGAAAAACATCAATTCCAATGCAGTTTGAGCCCTGAGATCTTGTTCTTTGCTTGTGGGGAAGATTTCTCTAGTGCAGATCCCAAATCCCAAGCTTGTCACTGAGTCTCAGGAGTCACCAAGGAGAAGAGGTGCCTGAAGGAGATCAGGTACCTTACCTCAGAGCTTCCATAGGGTGGCAATGGTCCCAGCCAAGGGTGTTGGGACTCTGACACAGTCTGGGATGTGTTGCTGTTCCCAGCCACCCTGCAATGGGGAAGGTGAGGAGCTCAGCCCACCTCCAGTGATGCTGACACCTGGGTCCAGCTTCATTACCAGCCAGGAAAATCACCAGCAGCTGCTCTCACCTCATTAGAAAATCTCCCCCCACCTCATGCTTTGGCAAGATCTCAGTGGTAGCATTCTGTCCCTGCAATCCCTGCTTTGCTGCTTGATCACTTCAGAAACCAAAAACCCCAGAGAGAAATTCAAGAATCTGCTAATTCTTTTTTCCCAAATGGCAATTGGCTATGGAGCTCTGGCTCTTTTGTACAACTCTCTTTCTCCTCTCTTCCCATCAATGGGGAAAAAGGAGATGTTGGTGTTTCTGCCATGTTGTAGATGATTTGCCACCAACCAGCCACGTGGAACTAC